ATTTCACATTAAGCCTTTGATAGTTAGGAGGCTAGATGCCATATCTACCATTTCACTTTATAATTTAATTATTATAATAGGCACACTAAACCTTTCTGAAATATCCTAATATTTAAAAGAATAAAAACCTCACCTCAGTGCTGTTACCAGAAAAAATCATTAGCTAGCAGTCTGTGTTCTATCCCTTTAATTTACTACCATAAAATGAAGAGTGAAAGTAAACAAAGTAATTCTGCAAACACTAAGGAAAAAATGCAGTTGCACATTAGCTAGAATTGAAATCAAACAAAAATACCTTTCTTTTATAATCAGCACTAATTCACGACTGAGCTGACAAAAATACACTCATGGATAAATCCCTGAAACATAGAGTGATTCTTTTTTTAAATGTCGTAGTTAGGCAAGAAATTTAATTCAAGAAGCTAAAGAAATTTATGTGTTGAAAGCAACTTTATCAATATACAGTTTCTAGAGAAACAGGTCACATCACAACTATTACATTTTCATAACTTATAAAGTAGTAAGTCATTCAAGAGAAACACACTAGAACCAACTTGGATTAAAGAAATAGTATTTGGCTCATCAAGACAAACATCAGTCCAGTCTAAGGCCTATAAAACAAATTCAGTAACTTACATCTTCTGTCATTATTATTATGGTCACTATTCAGGGGAAAAAGGAAATCCAAATATGTAGAGAGCGTCATTAAGCAGGACAAAAACAGGAACAAGATTAGAGTTTAGAATCCAGACTATGTGATGCACCAATTTCATTTTGGTGATGCACCGGGCAGTGGTTTGAAATTAAAATAAAAATTAAGGTAACACAGGCTAAGATAACACATAACCTTGCAGTGCATGTTCAGGCTTTAATGCACCTACCGTTTAATTCAGTGCCCTTTCTCACAGAGACAGGAAAAAATACAGGAAGAATGATAATACAGATGGGCAATCAAGTAACAAAACTCTTGCCATCACTTGTAGATATGAGATACCTGCCGTGTATATACCAGCAAACTTCCACTGGCTCAGGAAGGCATCAGGAACTTCATTGTCAAAAACAATATAAAGCGGAACCATGGAGGCAACAAACAGGCCTTAGGTCTGAGAGACTGAGGGAAGACTGTCCTGAAGCAGGTATGGCATCAGACCTCAACAACTAGGGAGCGTCAAGAGTGGAGCCAGCTCCAACTGCAAGGAAAGCAGTACTATTAACTCAAACATATGACAGGATGTTGTCTTTGATCCTTTCTGTAATGCGCTGTGAAAGACCCTATGGAAGAGTACTTCAGGAAACACCAAGTCCTTTCCTAAAAACAGACCTGTGACCCAAGAGATACACTGGGGGAGAGTGAAGGGATGCAGCCGGGGAAGACAGAAAAGCTCGTTCCCTTTTCATTCACATGCACTGCAAGAGGTTGTTGGAACTGTGTTCATTCAATGAATAATTAATGACAGTGGATTTCCAAGATCATGATGTTCGACCAGCACCTAATAACACAGGATTTAATCAAGAACAGTGTCTTTTGTTACTTGCATTTGTGATAAAGTTCCATTTCCTACATCTACACACACAAGCAAAGAAACTCTTCATTGTTGACTTAACAATGAGACTGATCCATCTTGCTGGAATTAAGTCACCTCAGTGATTTTATGAACAACTACACATACACAAAAACACAAAAGGAAAAACTAACAGGCAGCATAACAAAATAAGTTTTCTGCCCTATTACATACCATTTTATTCATCATACTTAACAAAGCTAAACCTGTACAAGTTTCTACATTTTGCTTTGAAGGAACTGTTTACTAGGTCAAAATATGAAAATATCAGAAACATTGAACTTATGGTCCCTTTTGCAATTTTTGTGCAGTCACTATCAATGTATCAGCACAAAGCTTTTGACAGATTTAAAAAAAAAAAGACCATGAACAACAGCCACAGAGACCACAGGGCCCTCATCCAGGCCACCCTAAAAAGGTATCAAGCTGATGTCCCTGGTCATCTCAAAAGCCAAATCCAAAGTCTGTTACATAGAAAAGTGAAATTATAGCCACTAGTAAAGAACTTAAGAAGCAAATTTAAACAGTAAAAAGAAATTGGATCAAAACTACATGTACAGTTAAAGACACAGGTGAACAGACACAACTGTTCAATTCAAGATCACATTTTTACACATAGGAAATACTACATTCTGACCTACCAGTATGGCTTTTCCCATGAATAGGTGGGTGTTTTCAGACTTTAAACTGAAAACTGTTAGTTGTCTAAGAAAACTAGAAGTGATTAATTATGTTAGGAAGAACTAATGTCAAGAAATGAAATTGAGATTAAAGTGAAATTTATAGCATTAAGATAGACACCACTAAGATTTAATTTTGGAAGACGTTTCACCTTCAATTTGTCATACTCTGGCAGCATATTTCACCTGTGAACTTTCTTCTTACAACACTGGAAGATAAGGTATAATTAAAAAAAATTCAATAAACTGAAATGCACCTGAGCGAAACAAAAATTAAAGTTCAAAGACTAAACAAAGCAGAAGTCAAGTTTTGGCTTGTGGACATGCAGAAAATTAAAAAAAAACAAAAAAAAAAACCAAGTTAACAGCTATTGGCACTTATCTATAGTAAGCTGTAAGGTGATGTAATAAAACACAGCTAATAAACGTCATCAGTTCACAATGAAACTGTACAAGCCATTAATTCACACTGAAACAATACACCTGACTGCAGTTTTGAGCAAAAAAACAGAACTGATAATTCTATTTTATTCAAACTTGAAAAGCTATTTCATCTAGTTTAAATACATTAATCCCCAAAGTTTTACAGTAACTGATGATTTTCAATCACTCACACAACCACATTGTAAATCCCTGAAACATGGATTTATTATAGGAATACTGATAAAACCTTAACAGATACAAATGATATATCACATATTGTCTTACACCTTAATGGCAAGTACTTGACTCAGATTGGTAGGTGCATCACTCCTACTTTTACACTATAATACCATCCTCTAGGACCAAATGCTTTAAATTGAATTCACAATAGTTTGCAGTTACCTAAAAGCAATGATTTTTTTTAAAATCAACCTATAAAAGATATTTCTGACCAGTATTTCAAAACTTTTGGAAAGAGAACACCCTAGTGGGGACTAAACACAGTATGCAAGGAGAGTCATTGCAGTGAACTTGAAAGTCATTTCAGAATTATCATCCCTGAAGAGATTTAGTATACAGCAGTATGTCCCTTGACATCAGTTACATGGTGCATGTTTATCTGTGCATCTTAGGACCTTATTGTACCAGCAGGTCCTAGGACTGTTGAAATTAATCTCATTCTGGCACAAGCTTTCTATGGGGTAGGGCAATTCCTAAATGAAAGGCACTCTTATGAGTGAAATCAGAATTATCAGCAATGTAAATGGATAACTTGTAACATACTGAAGGGAAATGCTGCAGCTTACACGAGGTCTAAAATTAGGTACTTTCTGTAAAATAGGTGAAAAAATATTTAAAACAGCTGCAGTGCATCTGTATACATGCACACAGACTCTAGCCATTGAACAAGCAGAGATCTCCCAAGTACCTCAACAGTTGTTTTGTTTTTTCCTCCAGTGCTTTTCTCACTTGGTGAAACCAAGCTTGTACAGTTCAAGGTGACTCGCAGAACAGCCCACCACTGCACTGTGCCCTGCAGCCCACAGCAAGCACATCTCTAGAGAAGCTGCAAGTGTGGTCCTCGCTAGTAGAACAAGAGCACAGGCACACAGCACTAGCTGGTACCCCTTCTTTCTCTTCATGCCTTTCCCTTTTTTTCCATGCTCCTTCTTAAAAAAAAAAACATCCTGGAAATACAGCTTTCCTTAAGGACAGGAAAACTCATGCTTGTTAGTCTGAATAAGGGATGTGCAAAACAGAAGTAATTTCCCTGAGGCAAAGATCTTCAAGTCATGCCTAGTTTACACTGTCTATTCTTATTTCACTTGTTGAAGTATTTGGCACACAGGCCTTGATCACTGACTGAGTCTCTCAGTATTATCACAGTCTGTATTATACATTTATATAATAAAGCAGAAGTTGCAAATGCTTCAATCTCTCATTCTGGTTTGGTTTTTCACATTTACTGATTAAAATCCCTTTCCTTCTCAAGGGTGGCACTGGGTCTCCTGGGCATGGTGGTAGAGTAGAAACTTATACTATATTTAAAGGTTATCATGAACACTGAATGCCTAAAAGGGCAATCACAGTAGTTTGTGGACTCAGAACATGGAGTAACAGGGCGACATTTAATATCCTGTTACATACAGCCTGTTAATTGGTCAAAAGTAGGTGATTAAATAGTAGGTGATTAAATACTTCTTGATTTATATTATGAAAACCATCCAGAGAGGAAAAAAAGTCATGTTATGAGTGCCTCCAGTCTAAAACACATAAGAAGAAAAGCCTGAAACCAAGTCTTCGCAGTTTTCCCTTTTAAAATATAAATTGCACTTGTACAAAGCAATACAAAAAGCCTAAATAGCAGTAAAAATCTGAAGCTGCCTTGCTGTACCAAAGTATCTGTGTTCAGCATCTGAAGTACAGGCAACTAGCTCTCAGCCATTCTGCACACAGAGCCATTTGCTGTACACCTTTCTGCTTTGAAATGGCCTGCCATTAAATGCCATGCCACTGGGTGGGGAATAAACAAAGAAATTAAAAACAATAGCAGGAGTTTAAGGCCTTTATCTCCAAGAGGAGCTGAAAACTGCGGCACAACCCATGACCAATACTGGCAAATTAGCACACTCCCACCCAGGGCTTCCAAAATCAGTCATTCTTTCCAACATCTGCCACACAGACAGCCACACCAATAGCAAGCAACAGCGCCAATTAAGCATTTTAAGGTCTTCAAAAATTCATACCAAAGGGCACTTCTGAGAAAGATATCTTATAGATTTGGTTTTAAAAATAGACACCACACTCACATTCAAGGGACATCCTTCACTTTTAGGCCTTTGTCACAAATCTGAATCTTTATTGTTCTGAAATAAATGCTATAAACATAAGACTCAAAACAAGAACTCCAACTTTCAGTCTCAGAAGAGGTGTGGTTCAATGCCCATATCACACGTAACAAGAAAGTCTCCTTAAAAAAGGAAAAAAAATTACTGTAAAGTCTTTCTTATGAATGAAAATGCAATCCTTTGTTTTTCTCATTACTTTGTGTACAGGCGGGCACCAAAAAAAACTTTTGCATTTTCCTTTGAATTCTTGCTATGACGCTTGACGAACTTTCTGCCATTCAACAAATTCATCCAGAAGCACGGGCCCTGCAAACAGACAAAACTTGGAGTTAAAATTGATAATGTCTTTCAAACACCTTTTTAAGTATGAGGGTTAAAACTACTGATATAGGAAACATCCATGTCAATCCTTTGGTAAAATACCCATAAAATAGTACAATCATTCCGATCCAAGAATGATAAAGTGCACAAAAAAACAATTTATGGAAAACATTGTTCCCAATATCTGACAGGTGGAGTGAACTGAACAAAAAGCATAAAAATAATCTTGTAAATCAGGACAACTAATTCCTTCTTCCCAAAATTTTCAAAATTATGAATAATTAGAAGATGGACCACAACAGGACTTAGGCAACTGAGTCATGGTATGACTGACTACCAGCCAGGTGGAGAGCTCAACCCCAAGTACCAGCAGGTAGGCAAAAATTATTAAGCTACAGTTTTTTATATACTAGTACAAAATGAGAGTTTGCTGTTATAATTCTATTTGCAAGTCAACAGTTGCATGCAGCAAGCACCTTCGCTAGATTCTCACTGAATGTAAGTTCTTGAGCCAATGATGGCTCAAGAAAACCATCTACTATTTACATACTATACCACTGACAAACAATTAGGAAAAATTAATATCTGCAGCTTGAAGAGGATGGTTATCAGGGCTGTTTTTTTGGTTATTGTTGGAAAAAAAAATTACACCTTACAGCATTGTTTCTGTTACAGAAAATTTTTTAATGCAATTTAATTTGAATAAGCAAAACATTAAGAATACTTACATGCACCATCTTCATCATAGTTGCTAAGATCTGCATGGACAGTCCTGCTGAACTCTAGTACATTGTACCACTGATCCTTGTTCATAACTCTATACTTCGATTGCTAGGAAAAGTAATTTCAAAATATTAAAATGTCAAGTGGCATTTGGTACCCCTCTATCGCATTTATCTTTTTATCTTCAATGAGCTCCCACTAAACTGTTTAATGGGTAACAATCCCTATTACTTACTTCATTTTCCATTTTTAAAAATACTACACATGAACATGTTTCGTAGTTATGAAACAACATAAAATGATTTTGTGGAAGATCAGAGCAGAATCAAATTCCCCAAAACCTGGAAATCAGTAAGTCACCACTCTAAGCTTCAAAAACTGCTATATTTTTGCCTTGCCCTGAAGTGGGGCATATATAGCTCAGATGTATTTCCAGAATGATTTAAAAAAAAAAAATCATCTTTTCTCCAGGTTGCAATACATTATGATCATAAGGACCCCTACTTGGCAGTGTTAGTACTGTTTTGAAGCCAGAGAATGGTATCAAGCCCTGTGTTCCACAACCTATACACCTGTTCACTTTAATCAGTCACTTGCAGCTGAGCTGACCAAAATCTTCCAGGGAGCCAGAGATCAAGATACCTTCACACCATATCTGCACAAAGCAAACTTAATGCAGTGCATATGCAGCTGAAGAGACTAGTGGGGCTCTATACTTACTTTCAAATTTACTCTATACTTACTTTCAAATTTATATTTATAGTAAAACCAAGATGGAATTTTAGTTGCCTTTGATAAGAAAAGGGACTGGGGCACAGGGAGGAAGATAAGGATCTGTGATGCATACAAGAACATCACTGTTTCATAAGCACATTGAGCAAGGGAAAGGGAGCATTATGGATAAATTCATTATGAGTAAAATAAACACAATATTCTCACAGAACACTCAAACTACTACGCCAACATTCACAAAGTCAAGGAAATTTGTACCTCCAGGTATTGATAAAATACTGAAAACAGTGGCCAAGTTCTTCCAAGCAGAAGAGCTAACATGGACTTCGCAGTATCAATATCAAGACTTCGCTGGTCTTTTTCCTAAGGTTGAATAAAGAAAGCACAGAAACCAATCAAGCACAAGCTTGATTAATAAATAAACGTTGAATAAATATAAGTAAGAACTTTGCTAATATTTCAGCAGTCTTACCCTTGCAAAATCAAAGGCATATCTGTAGATATTCTTAAAAGATGAAATGTCATTCAACTGTGACCGTAAGAAGTCAAATTTACTCTGTAATTTTTCTGTACAGTCACACCTTAAAAAAAAAAAACAACCCAAAACGTTAGAGTTCAAAACACCACATTAGGCAATGAAAAAAATGCCAGCAAACACAAAAAATTGAAATTGCCAAAACACAATCATTAGATATACAGGAGTAATACTGTGAAACTGACTTAAGGAATCTTGAACATGCTCAATATTTGCAGCTTACTGAAATGATGAATGCTGGCTTCTGTAAGCAAGTTTTTTGTTTTAAATATATCACCAACATAATACGAAGTACATGCTTCACATCTCAAATAGCAGTCTTTTAATTCCAAACTCTGTAATCTATAGTCATACCCAGCAATATCTTATCTTTCAACCACTACGAATGTCTGAGGAAAATGTCATTCAGTGTGCATTAATGGGTAAAATCCAGCTGTAAATAATGGGAAAATGCAAACCCTAAACAAGTAGTTTTGCAGTGTGTGTTTACAAATGGCAGGATTGAGCAAGCACTCTGCAAAACATACTACTCTGCTCATGTTTTATGACTGATAAATGCAAGCTCTGATAAAGCCTTAATCACCTGAATTAGTCAGTAGCTATTCAACTGAAAAATCAAAGGCTGTATGAGAATGTAGAGGTCCACTAGTCAACAGGATAAAGCTTTGGCAAAAATAACCCTTTGGCAGAAAGACTGCTTTGTAGTTTACTCAGCACGGAAACAGAAAATGGGTCAGATTCACCAACAATGGCAAAGGAGAATGCAATTTAACTTTGCTAATCCTCCAAAAAATACTCACTCAATAGAACAGTTATAACAGGACAACCTATTCTTATAAAAAAGCTGCCATGACTAAAAAAGAATAAATTAAAAAATCTACCTTGCTTTGTATCCTTCATGAAGAAGCATACTTTCCGAAATGCAGCTGTACATAAATACTTCTTTGGTCACGTGTCCCCCTTTCAGCAGCCTGCCTCTCAGAATACATTTGCACCCCTAACAGCTCCACACGGACTTGTCACACAGGCCCCCAGCAAGGGATGCTGAGATGCTGGCCTTTGATGCTGTACTTTGCCCACAGCTGATACTTCCTGTTCCTCAGACCTGCCAGTCTGTGTGTGCACAGCTGTCTGTCAGTCTGTCTTGCTCAGACTGCGACAAGAGAAATGTAGCAATTCCAACTGATGCAACCTTTTATCATTTCTTGTCCCTAGCAGCATCTATCTAAAGCAGCACTCAGTCCTAGCCAACACTGGTGCTAAATAAATAAAACTATTAGCTAATTAGACTACATATTCAGATGACAAGTAGTATATTCCGTGATAAACCATCTAACAAATTGCAAAGAACTCTTGTTAAATGAGCTTTGCTAAATTTAACTAAGAATAAAATTACTTTTTTTGTCTTCAACCATCTAATTGGTCTGTATTCTACTATTTAACCCTTAAAATGGCATTATGCTATGCTAGAAAGGCATCGTGTTTTTTATTCATATCTCTTCTATGTTCAAAGCTTCATACTTTCACCAGAATGTTCTACACATTTAAGGACAAATCTATGTATTTAATCTACCTGAATGCTCAAGTTTTTAGTGTACTAGTGACATATAAAATATTTATAGTGGGTTTACCACACATTGTTAAATATAATTTGACAGATGATTTACCCTATCATGGGTAAACTCAAATTTCAGTATGTTTAAATTTCTTGCAAACTACTTTGTTAAAATTGTTCATACATCTGAGTGCAAAGTAAAATGCCAGCTATTGTCTACAACACTATTGGCTATGTGTATTTTAATATGCAATTGATTAATTTGGAAAAGTTGGTATGAAAATGAGCAATTATTACGTGTCATGACTCCTAAGCAATTTATTATCAGTGCATTTGTAACTAAAAATCCCGACACACAGACATGTTTTGGTTAAAGCTGTTTAGGGTGTTTCTGTACCTAGCCACTGACTTTCCTCCCAAAAAGAGGCAAGGAGTTGTCAAACTCCTCTTTTACAGAGGTACAGCTGCCTGTGTGGCTGCATCATAAAACAGATGACTGAGATCACACATACCTGGAATAATCCTCCTAATAACCAGAACAACCTTCTAATTAGTACAAGTGAATTAACACTAAACTCCTATACAGCCACTAGAAAAAGATGTGATTTCTCAAACGGTCCTTAGTGAAAGATAGCACTGAACAGTGTTACCTCAACACCATAAAAATTAAGACATTAGCTTACTACATTCCCTTCTCATCCCTATGTCACATTTTTAACAAAACTCAAATTAGCACCACAAATTGAATGAATTTTAATTTCTGTTGAGATAGAGAGATCATCTGAGGCATAGCTAACATGGACAAAGGGATGATTCATTAACTCCTACTCAGATATGCCGATGTTTTATATTTCATAGCTATTCCATACACTTGTCTTTCACTAAAAAGAAAAATCAGTATGATGTATACAAACATTAAACCAAAAGCATTTCATGTTAGCATATCCATTTCATCTTAAGGAGGATGAAATAATCGGCCTAGCAGAGGTACTCGATTCTCTCTGCTATAAGGAGAGCTTGCATATATACATACATATATATTTTTGTACACATATATATGCAAGTACACATACTTGCATATGTATGTATATACACATATATATGTGTATATGCACACACATACATGTGGGGCAGAATTCACCCTACCTACGCAATGTACTGGAAAAACCTCCCAGCCTAAGTTGCTTCGGTCTCATAAGATGATATTTAGGGGTCAATTCATCTTCATTTTGACAGTATCTGCCTCAGCACACATTTATTTTTCTCATCTCTAAACAGCCGACTTCATCAGTGTATTACAAAACAACATGCAGAGAGAATGTCACTTCAAGATTCAGGTACCCAAATGCTGGCATCTAACTGTAGATTAGAGGTAGATGTCCTAAGCTTCAGGTGTTGTCATTCATAGAGGACTAACCAAGCAACCTCTAAGAGCAATTCAGGTGACCAGTCATTAGGTTTTAGGGCAAACTGGATGCTTCCCTAGGCTTCATTACACTGACTGGATCTCCAAAGATTGCAATAAGAGTTTAAGAAATCCAGCTCTTGCATATAAACTAAACATTTAGGTATCTTACTATTGAGATGAATTCCACCCAGCACTGTTCATGCAATTACCTTGTGTAACATTTCACATATTTTGAAATAAAGATTCTATAACAGAAGTCCATGTAGAATACACTCTGGGGTCTTAATGCATTTCAATCTCATTTCTTCATGCAAAAATTACAAAGAAAAAAAATAAGCTGAGTAAGCATGCAGTAATATTTTACTTTTTAAGTGTAAAACTCTTTTACTTCAAAGTTTTGTCAGACATTTCAAGAGAAAATAGATAACCCCATTCCAGATGGAATCTCCCAATATCATCCTCCCTTCCTAGTAAGGAACAACAGCACAAGTCTACAGGTTTGTATTTTCTTTCATCACAGTTTAACCCCAGATGGTAACTAAGCATCACAGAGCTGCTTTCTCAATCCCAGCCAAAATCTGCACCTATTATTCAGCTAATAATAGGTGCAGATTTTGGCTGGATCCTGAGCTGTGTTATGTATTCAGCTAATGATCCTGAGCTGTGTTATGTGAGTGCCTCTGCTTCACCCACCTGCTTAGCCAGCTTTTCAGAGAGCAACAGGGAAAGCAAAACATACACATTAACTGCTTTAGGCTTAGGCGAGGGCTCTCACCAGAATTCCGTTTCTACGAAAACGCACAGCAGCACCCTATTTTCAGTATTAAACATGTTTAGACTATAGCACAACCAGCTCTGTTCTGAAAAGAGCCAGAAGATTTCCAGTCAGCAAATTGTTAGAAACAAAGTCTAAAACATAATCTCTGAACAGGTGCCTGATTTCATACATCTTTGGCTAACTCTTGAAAGCTTGTATTTGGGCATAAAAATTAAATACTTCAGGTAAGTGACCAATACCCATTCACTGCATCTGAAAAATCATGCACCCAGAATTTAACCTGTCATCCTGAATTTCAGGCAATTTAATAATTCCAGCTCCTAATTTAATTTCTGGTGATAGTCACAAAATAATCAAGGCATCTATCAGAAGCCTGATCCCAAATCAGCCAAGAATTGAGAGTCAGTCCAGAGTCACTTACCCCATGGTTTTGAGTAACCAGAGGGTATATGCCTGATACAATTTCCCAAACCAAACCACAACTGACAGGGCAAGGGTAAAACCAAGCCCTCTTTCCCACTGTGCCCTAGCAGCAATAGTAGTTGCCCATCTGTAATATTAAATGCAGTGTCATAACAAGACACCCTTAAAACACTAGGGTACCACAAGCAGTTACAGAAAGAACAAACAAAAAGTAACTGACTTAAGCCTCACAAAAAGCTGATTAATGTGAGAAACAATCTCTTTAGGCAGAGCATTAACTCATCAAAAATTCAAATGCAAACAGAAAGAGCAAGAAGTTAGTTCATAAATTGAAAAGGTGTTATTTAACCTAAGCATTGAGCATGGCTTCTGATGTACATGTAATAACCTCAATAGCCAAAATTATTATCCATGCAGTCCTCATCTATAAAGCTCAGAAATCAGTAAAATCTTTCCATAATATCAGTGCTGAGATATGTTTATGTACATCTCCAAATATACTTATTATATCTGCTAACTAGAATGGTAGTATTTTAACATATTGTTGCAAGAAATGGAAGCAACCAAAACCTGACTTAATTAGGTTTAAACAGTAACTTAATCCTTTGACTGAACTCAGATTAATTTTGCAGTTGTGGACCAAAACAAGAACTAAAAGCCAGCGTTTTTTTGTGTCTGATTTCCAACATACATGAAACAGAACAACAATAGTTAAGTTATAGGTACAATCATAAAATTAGAACATTCTATTAGATAGGTAAAAACACTCTTACTGTAATGAGGTCATTCCTTTCAACCATTCTTCCTTAGTGAAAAATCCCATGCTTTCAGCCTCTAGTTTCCAGGCTAAAACTAACATAATAATCTAGGGGAAACAAAAATAAGGGGAGGAAAAGGAGTTATTACGTAAGAAAAGGTTGATTTAATAATGTCCAAGAACAAAACACTAAAGCATTCAAACATCCTAGCAATTGTGGTACATGCTTGGCCTTCATATTTGTTACCATTAAAAAATTCAGCTACGTGCAATTTTTCCCTCAGTTTCAATTTTTGAAAATTAAGTATTACTATAATAAATCCACCCAAAAAACCCTCACACACCAGCCAAGTATAATTGATGTATTCAGCTGAAATATCTTAGAGCAGCTCCTACAAGCAGGAAAATGAAAAACTCTTTGCTTAGTGGAGTTAGGAGCTTTACACAGAACTTAACCTTATCTAATATCCTCTTAGGTGTTATTAGCAATATGAAAGGAACTTACATTTTCAGGTTCAACACCGATGTCTTCACAGAATTTTTCCATTCCTTCAGGGCCTACAACTTCATCGGGACCTTCAAAGCAAAAACCACACCAGAGTGAAATCTAAGTAACACTCACAAGGGTTATACACAATAATTAGGCTATATTGCACCCAAAGTATTTCTAAAATTATTGCATTACACTATTAAGTAGCTTTTAAGCTAGAACTATTCCGTCAAGTGCAATTGTGTAGACATGTATGTGCTACATCAGAATGTTTGTGCTGTGCACTGCCTCCCTATGATAGCAAACAAGCCATTTCAGTTTTGTATCTGATTTTTCAAGACTCCACTGAGCTTCCTATTGATGCAGCTCAACTCCAATAACTGGGAGTCAATGAAGACAATTTGGGTACCACTACTCTCTGCTGTAGTTACTTTATGAATAATGTTCTTCAAAAAATTATTTTATCAACAACCACAAAATCTAATTCTGTCTGAACTACTATTACAGATATTCTTTTGATGGTGCTAACATTATGGGTTTACTCTAACACAGAGGGTGAATCTGCAAATAACGTAAGATGAGTTCTACAATGCTGAGTAAAATAAGCAAAATGAGGACAATAAATTGAAGAAATGCTGAGCATGTTAGCCATATACAAAGCAAAAAAAAGGTTCAGGGCTGCAATGAAAACAAATTGATTAGGACCACAACAGTTAAGAGTTTTGCTGTCATTTCTCCACTTTAACATGAAAGCCTCTAAAATGCAGCAAAACAGTGCTTTTAAAGAGTGCATACAGACACACTCCAAGGTGTTTTGTTCCTCTAATCTCTCTGGCTTCAGTTATTTTGACTAAGCCTCCAAAAATTATTCCTACTGAGCAGCCAAATATTATTAAAAGGCCAGTCAGCACAGTATTTTAATTTGTCCTGGATCATTACATTAACATTTAGTGAGTATAAACTCATGCAAAAGGCAAAGGTTTTAGCTTCCAAAACAACATACCACTTCACAACTTTTTGGCAAATTTTGCTACTTTTAATAGGCAGAGTCCTTGATGAATCTGTCTCCACTTTATTTGCTGCCAGGGTAAGCAGAAGCCTCTTTAACAGTTTTGATAATGTGCTTTGAGTAACTACTCACTGAGATAAGAACATTGTCAATAAAACCTACTGAGAATGGCTACTTTTGCAGAAAAATAAAAACCAACTGACACTTAACATCATGAATCCCTGCATCCTGAAAAATATTGCAGAGGACATTTTGCCTAGGTAAGCAATACCAAACAGTGTTAGATAGAAAATTCTTGAAAAAAAAAAAAAAAACCAAAAAAAACCCCAAATTATGAAGAGAAACACATACAAGGGTTCACTGGTAATGACAAGTAAAAGCTTGAATTAGTGTTTCTGGTCCAGAAATCATACATAAAGCTCATACACTTATATGTGTGTGTATAGCTTTATCACTTAATAGAGCCATTTTATCTTCTATTGTATATAATTTAACTGGAATTCTCTCTTGTGCTGGAAATGTGGCATTTTTTTGATTGTTGGTTAACTCTAAGTATAACCTCCTACATTCAGTTCTTGACTCAGTGACAAAGCCAAAATTCACAGACATTAATTTTGAAGAATATGCAAACAAATCTATCACAAGAAAATTAACTTCGAATTATTATTTCCCTAGAAAAGGCTCTACTCCAGAAGAGTATTCTGCAAACCTAGAGAGTAGATTACTATAAATAAGAGTAGTTCATTATTGTGAAAAGACTGCAAAGAAAATATCTTAAATATGATAAGAAAATATGATAAATATACTCAAACCAATTGCTGGCAGATAAATCAGCAGCTCTCTCCATACTAAGATCTGGCAATTAATGAGTTTTAATCACTAACCAGTTATGATGGACTTTAAGTAGTGACTAGACAAGGAATTAATAACAATTCAGAAATCCTGAGTTCAGAAACCACACAACTGGCAAATAAATAGCAGCAACAGTGTAATAAATTCTGCAAAATATACTGCATATTCACTTAAAGCAGCTACTCAATGGCAATTCTGAGTTGTTTGAAAAAGACTACTTCAAATACTTCTGGAACGAAACATTGGTATTTAGAATATAAAAAAAATGTTAGTACAAATTCTCAGATGGAAAACCAGTATAAACCTCTACCGTTTTGTAAAACAGAAATCCAAGGAGCTTAAATCATGACCTACATCATTAGTCTTCCAATATGATTACAAAGAAGATATAGTTAGATACGTAAGCATCAGTCTGAATTATCCCTCACTATCCTGACTTATACTTGACAATTTCAAAGCCAGAAGTGAATCACTCAGTATATCCTGGCTCAACAATGTACTGCTTGATATTTGTTATTTCATTTTCAAGTTGTAAAGAACAGAGTAAACAAAAATAAGTCAAAAAGAACAAACACCAAGAAGGTAATAATAAAAGCCATCCTAATTCAAATGCATGTTATAAGGAAGCAAATACGGACACATTTTTCTGTCTACATCAGCAGACAAAAAGCAAAATGCAAGTAGTATTTTATGCATTGCTTTATTTAAAACAAAACCATATAGTTTCAAACATGAATGCATTGCACATTACCTGCATATTCATAAAACCAAGCCAGGCACTTTTTGCTTGAAAAATGTTCCTCTCCACTTATTACTTTACCAGATGCTTGTGATCTGCAGTAGCAAATAGAAACACAGGGATGAACAGTGTTATTTTAATGCGACATGTGAAAACCAGGAAAAATTAAATGACACAATATTTACTAGTAATCTATTTAAATTGCTTCACGAGGTCAGTATGCATCTAGTTATGCTGAATTTCATAAAAGGCAACTGTCTGTCATCCTCAACTCCTGTTGGAACATAAAATTCCCTTTAGATTACAACCATCTCATAGCTCAATTTATTGTAAATATTACTTTTTCTGAATTGCAGAAGTACTGTTATCTTGTAGATATTAAATTAAAAAACCTCCACACAGATGGCCAAAATATCACTCCTCAGTAATTCAAATGCCTTATTATCTACTTTTATTTATACATACAGGCATTCAATGTTAGGTCCCTAATAAGCAGCTTGATGTTCAAGAGTGCTGAACATGCACAGATCCCATTAAGGTCAACAGAAGCTGCAGAGTTTAACATATTTAAAAGTCAGGCTATTTATAGTTAACCGTCCAAATTTGGGGAAAAAACTTGGTCAATTGGTTTACATTATACACATAATTAAGAAAATACAAATTCTATAGATATTTGGTACGTATACCAGAATAGTAGTGTGCAATCTGTGGCAAGACTGAAGCTGCTCAGCACACAGAGCTTCCCTCATCATTGTTTTCATTATGTAACACACAACCCAGTTTGCCTAGGAAGCGAATTCTCTTAATTCATCATTCATTAAAAGAATGCATAGAATTTCTTCCAGTAAAAACACCGACTACACAAAGGCATCTTCAGTCAGTAAGGAGTTGCAGCACCTTTTCAATGCATCCTCCTTTCAACTACAAATTATAGACTTTTAGAACAAGCTAAGGTTATTTCTAACAATGAGGTGAGAACTAATCATATGAGAGGATTTAAAATTATGCAGCTCCCACACTGCAATTTTAAAATTAAAACGTCAAGCAGGAGAAGAATAGTTCAATTCTGAGAAGGGTGAACAACTTGAACTCCTATGTATCGTTTTTAGCTTCACTAAAAGAAAAGAACACAACACTCTTAAGAAGAAGCCTTCTGTGTTGAAAGCTAGAATTAACGGAGTCCTCCAAACATTCATCCATCCATCCAACTGGCATAGGGAGCACAAATCACCAGAAAGAGGCAGTCATATGGTATGCTATTGCTTATTGGCTTTATCCAGATAAACATACATCTACTTGTAATCACTGATTTTATTAAAGAATATTACCAATAATTTGTTGTGTAAGAACATAATGCGAAAAATGCTTGTGTATCTAACATTTTCTGATCACCTAGCATGAACTCTCACTTACATCATAGTTTTTGCCCAACAACTAGCTCCCTGCAGAATCTGTGGGGTTTTTTTCCCCTAAGCTATGAAAACACTAAGTAAAAGAAATCAAGATCATAAAATTTCAGTTAACTGTTCTAGAAAGACAAACTGAAAGTGAACACATGCAAACAAGTGCTAAGATGAGCAAGGAAACTGAAAGTTGGTATTACAAACCAGAATAACTTAGTTTTCTTAAGTATACAAAATAAAGTATGAGAATAGTTTTCTTAAGTACACAAAATAAAGTATGAGAAAACAGAAGTGTTCCCTCTAAATATACTTTGAGGCAGAACCATGAGTGGTACAGAGGATAATGCTGGCAGAAGAACAGTTATTTATAGGCAATGAATAAACTGACTGAAACGAAAAGGTCATCAATGCCCACAAAAAGTGAGCTCTGGAATGGCTACTCTAAATGAACAGTCGTAACAAAATAAGAGACTTCTAAGCCCAGGTGTGGCCAGCAAACGAGAAAGGCCATACGCCACAATTTTTTGCAATAGCTATTCCCGTAGCGTCGATTTCGCAAGTCCTTTGTATCCTCATGTCCTCAGGACGTTAGTCGTAACTACTGCTTTACTGGCATACTTAACAAGGCCTAAGAGATGAAGCAGGCAGTTATTTCGGGGAAGCCACACTGTAAGCTCCTGCTTGCACCGCACTAATGGTTTATCATTCTAACAGCAAGTTTTGGGTATCACGTCATAAAGTGATTCTTTTATAGCAGTTCACGAACAAGATGTTTCCAACTCCTGTATTTATTAGAGAAACCTCTTGTTTTCCAGTGTGCTGACCAATCCTTCCAATTCACTGCAAACAAAGACCAAAAAAAAAAAAAAAAAAAAAAGAGGAAACGACGATTTAGCACAAACACTCTGAGCACCGGCAACCTTAAAGTTGAGGAGAGCCGCCTACCCCAGGGAGATAAAACGAATATGGGGACAAATGCCAGAACCGGCCCTTGAGGTACAGCCAAAGGCAAAGCCAGCCAGGAATGGGAGCCGTTCCGTGGCGTTTCTCGCCGAGCGTGACCACGCCGCCGCCGCCGCGGCCGCACGGCGAGCCCCGCACCTGCCCCGGACTTGCCTGCCTGCACGGCCGCGCTACTGCCGGGGCCCGCCGGGCCGCACACGGCCCGCCCGCCGCCACGGGCAGCCCCACGGCCGCCGCAGCCCGGGGCCCGCGGAGGAGCGGCCCGGGACGTGACCGCCGGCACCGGCCACCGCCCCGCGAGACGGTACCTGCCGAGTTTACATTTCTTCAGGCCGGTGTCTTCCCCCGCCGCCGCCCCCGAGGACTTCCTCTTCTTCTTCACCGGCATCGTCCTGCCTCGGGGCGGGGCCGCCCCGCTGCCGGGGCCCGCAGCCGAGGCCCCCCTGGGCTCGCTTCCCCTGGCCGCCGCCGCCTCCCGAGACCGGCGGTGAGGAAACGAGAACAGACCCCGTTCCTGCTGGTCCTCCCCAGCCCCACCGGGTGCCGCCGGCCCCCGCTCCCCGCGGGCAGACGCCGCCGCCCCGTTCCCAGAAGCGGGTGTCGTGCCGGGGGCGGGAGCGAGCGCGAGCGGTATCGCCCGCGGAGAGAACGGCGAGAACGACCCGGACACAGACGGCGCCGGGCAGGAAGTGGTAGCCCCGCCGGGGCGGGGCCGCGCCGGGACCCGCCCCCGGGGAGGCGGGGCTGCCGCGCGTGTTTCCCGGCCGGAACGGCAGCCGCGCGCGTGGCCGGGCAGGGCCTGCGGTGCCGGTTACGGCTCGGCGTGCGCAGCGAAACAAACGGGGAAGCGCCAGCCCTTCCAGTCCCTTCGGACCCGCGCGGTCACCGCCCGCACCCGGGGGCAGCTGGGTGTCCCGTCAGCGCTGGAGGCGGGCTCGGGGCTGGGGCAGCCGCCTGCCGAGAGGCGCGAGCGGGGCCCGAGTTCGAGGACAGCTGCTGGGCGGGACGGGAGGTGCTCCGTCCTTTTAGAGACCCTCTACAGAAGCGGCCGGGAGCGCTGAGCGGGGCGCGGATAGCTACGCTCAGGGGCGGCCACAAGCTGTGATCCCGGTGGGCGCTCTGAGCACGCTCCCAGCGCTTCCTGGGGCCGGGACCGCAGTCCTCTCCGCCTTGCTGTACCGGGCACCACGGGCTCCCTAGCGGAGTGGGGCGGGGGCGAGGGAAACACCCCAGGTACTGCGGCGGCCGCGACTCCGTGATGCAGCTGATGGCAGGAGAGCTGCTTCGGTGAACCCAGGGGAAGCCTGACCTCGGATCGGGCCGGGTGACTCCCGGGCGCTGCTGCCGAGCGAGGAGCAGCGCAGCACCCTTTCCGCCCCGCCCCGCCCGCCTGGCCAGCCCCGTTCCGCCCCGTTCCGCTGATTTCCGAGCGCGTCGGCCGCAGCTAAGCCGCCTGCGCGCTAGGGCCGCCATCTCCGGTCACCATAGTGACGGTCCCGGCGACGCCGGGACGGCTCCGGCCTCTCCCCCTGTGCCCCGGAGCGAGCCGCCGTCCTTCCCGCCGTGAGCCTTTTGGGTCTTCTCCCGCCAGCGCCTGCATCTGCTCCTGTGGCACTCTGGATCCGCTCCCGCCTTGATTCTGTCTGGCGGGGTGCGTGCCGCCACCATGGCCGGGGAGGGGGACAGGAGGAAGCGCTTTATTTCAGCCACGGCTGCCAACTACTTCGGGCTGGACCCGGCGGGCGGTGCCGCTGCCCTGGCCGCGGGGCTGCATTCCCGTCCGGAGCTGGGCCGCTTCCTCGACGACGGCAACGAGTTCCTGCTCGTGGTGCAGCACTCGGGCGCGCAGCTCAGCGCCTCCAACAAGGTACCGTAGTGTCCGCGGCGTCCCGGCGTGCGAGCGGGGGTGCTGGGCCCGGAGTCAGCCCAGGCTTGGTGGCCGTAAAGACTGGTGTCAGATTTGGGAGATATCGCCTTCCTGCGAATATCTGTGCGGGTTTCTGTGTCTACTGTAAGCTGCTGGCGGCTGCCATGGTTTAACCCCAGTGAGTGGCAGATAAGTACCACTCACTGTCCCCCCACCTCGCCGTGGGGAGAAGAATCGGAAAGAAAAGAACGCCGTGGACTAAGAGCAGTTTAATAAATGAAACGAAATAAAACATAATAATAACTAGCTACTAACACGCTAATCATAATGTTAATAACTTAATGAAAAGGGGCGAGAGAGGGGAATAAAACCCAAAGGAGACAAGAGTTATTGCACAGTGCAGTTATTCACCACCCACTGACTGATGCCCAGCCCGTCCCCCAGCAGCGATCGGTGCCTCCCGACCAACTCCCCCCAGTTGATGCACTGAGCTCTGTGTTACGGAATATTCCTCTGGCCAGCTCGGGGCAGCCGGCCTGGCCGTGCTCCCTTCCAGCTTCTTGTGCACTCCTCACTGGCAGAGCATGAAGCACTCAAAAGTACTTGATTTTGGGTAGTTACTGCTCAGCAACAACCACTGCATAGTATCAGTGTGATATTAACATTACTCTCATACTAAACCCAAAATACAGCACTGTCAGAAAATTAACTCTATCCTTGCTGAAACAAGAACACTGTCCCCAGAGTCCACGAAGACCATACGGTCAGCTGACGTTACATTTGTTAGCGGATTGTTCCCATGTTGGTGAAGTTTTAGTGTGCTGTGTATTGTCTCTATGTGAATGGCCTGGGGCATGGAGTGGGATGTATGATTTCTTCCCGGGCATGGCTGCATGCAGATGTCCCAAAGGATTGCATGGACAATGTATGTGCAGGGAATGGGACCCAGTGTCTGGCACATTGGCTGATATTTGACAAATCCAAGGTGCACGTTTTTCCAAAGCATGCATTTTTCCAATTGATTTGTCCAGCTGTGAGGAAATCCGAGGTTCATTATGTGAAATGTCCTGCCTTGAGTCTTGTGTTCAGCAAGCGACTCTTTGGATTGCTACCACGGGGTGTGATGTGCACTCAGTGTCTCCATGGAGGGAAGGTGTGTACAGGCAAGGTGTGGGTTTTGAGAGTGGGACCTGTTGTTCTGCAGTGAGACCAGGGGCTTGGTGTCTGTTATGTCAGTGGCTTCACATGGAAGAAGCATGTAAGGAGTCCTCAGCCTGTGGAGTGTGGACCCGTAATTTACATAACTCCTTGGTTAATCATCTGTGAAGTCTAGTGCCTGCTATATTCAGGCAAGAATGAACATATATGTTTACCAGTTTTTGGGGGTGCTGCTGAGCCACTGTCTAAAATATGAAGCAGCTTTCAGCAGCTGTGCAAGATCAGATGCATATTGGTGCTGTTCTCTGTACTTCTTGTCTCAGTGAAGCTATGTCTGTAAGAGTTGGGCTAAACACTTGATAAGAAAGTAAAACTGATACTGTCCAATAAAACTGAAAGCTGTTCTTATTACCCTTTGAACAGCTGCTGAATAGAAATAGTACACAAATAGAAAAATAGTACACAAATGTTTGCAGTTGCACAGGATATGGGATTTCACTTAGCATATCTTTTTGCTATTAATTTATAAAATGCTTAAGAAATTTCCTGTACTATGAATTCTACTCAGCCACAAATAATTTCAGTAATTACTTTATGGCAATTTTTGGAACTTTACCCATAAGCTGGGCTGTGGATGGAACGTTAGTCATGCTGCAATTTATGATTTTACTGATGAAGGAGCATGCCTTTCTCTGTTGTTAAGAAATCTATGAATAATGTATTTACAAACTCAGGAAAACCATACAGAATATTTACAATATATAGAAAAAATGTTCCCAAAGGTTTTTAACATAAAGATGCAACTAAAAAATAGGCTTAATGCTTAGTTTCTCTAGGCACAAAACAGAGTTTCTGTTTTGTCCAGAGAAAGTGTTAAGTGGAGTTTTCAAAATATAGTAAGAAATGCTGATATTTACAGACATTATATGCTGTAGAAAGCTTTATGTATTTGATGTTGGAAGTCAGGTTCCTATGGACTCAGAAATAAATATAATAAAAATTTTAATTTTCTGTGCAAATCAAATACTATCAGAATTTTATCGGAGCTCAGAGGGAGTAATATGGTTATTTTATATTTTTTCTTGATGAAAATTCTTTATGTAAATGGTATATGTAGTGTAGCAGTTAGTAACGGCTTTCTAAACAAATCTCGTTTTCTTGATTATTGCAGATTGAAGCTACTGATTCAAAGAATAATGTATTGGTGTTCTTTAAGCTGAGACCTGACATAATTACTGAAGATAATCTTCACAGTAATATTCTTGTGTCATCTATGCTAGATTCACCAATCAACACACTTTATCAAGCTGTACGTCAAGTTTTTGCACCAGTATTACTAAAGGTGAGCAATATACTAGTTTAATGTTCTGTAGATTTATATTGAGACATTGGAATTCAATAGGGTGTTACCCAATTCTGAGCTAAATGTTTCATGTCATGAAACCAAAATATTTGAGGAGATGAAGCAATTGGTGATAGTTATAATTCCTAAGTGAAAGAAAGTACTTAAGCTCCTATCAGTAAGGATGAGAGGAAGGTTCTGGTCATAATATGCCTGACTGGAAATGTGGAATACACTGGCCATTGGTGGTTAATGTGAAAAAATGGCTCACACACTTTCAGGATGCCTTTATAAACCTGACAACTGACTTTTGATTTTGTGATAAAAATGTTTTTTATAGTATTATTTTGAGTTGTTAAATCAGAAGAATGAAGTGCTTTTCCTTGACTTGATGTTTTTCAGGAAAAAAAAAATGCTACATTGTCCCACCATGTGGTTGGTACTTAGTCTCAATTTTGTATTTTTCAATGATTAGTGGGAAGAAAATGCTAATTGCTCTATCATGTGAATCATAATTTTTGAAATTTTCATTACAGGATGAGAAGTGGAGTAAAGCATTTGATCCCAAGCTCCAAAAACTTTTAAGTGAGCTTGAAGCTGGCTTGAGTACTGCTCTCAGAAGATCAGATCCCAGTTACAAAGGAACAAAATTTAGTGAAGATGATGTGCGAGGTTTGTTTTTTTATAGTTAATTTTTGAATTCAGAGTAAATAATTTATTTACAAGTTGAGAGTTTAGGTTTCCCAGTGATTGCACAGTGTAAAATATAACTGGTTGTTGTTAGTAGACTGGAATTACTTACGGTCATGCCAGAAGAGCAGAGTTGACTTTTATACTGCATGTAGTCAGGATCAGAAGTTAAAGGATATTTACATAACCATATCTATAAGTTTGCTTTAGAAAGTATGTTCTGACTGAATGCGTTTTATAAACATTCTTTCATTTCACATATAAATATTTTCTATTTTATTTGCAGCTATACTTACACCAACAGATGAATTTCAGTTCTGGAGAGAATGTGCTCATCATGGAAATAAAGGATGTAGTAAAGAGAGAGCTTCATATTTTAGAGACCTATTTGAGGACATTGCAAAAGTATGTTTTATTTTGTGTAATCAGTGAAATATTTCTAGACTTAGTGAGAACCACTCTTCCTATGAAATCTGTGTCAGTATGTGTACTCTCTTTCCAAGTATATGAATATTTAACTATTCAGTTACTTTTTCTCAGGCAGAATTTTACTTTAAATGATATTCATGTAGTTTGTAGTGACAGTGGTGGGTGGGAATGCCAACATTTATTT